CCCCCCCCCCACGTCAGCATTCCTCCCTCCCTCCCCCCCGATTGGCCATCGGTGATCGGTTCTGTGGGAACAATACTCCGTCCTCTCGAGGACGTGTTGTCAATGATCTAATCGCTAGGGCATGCAAAACATGAGAGGACGCCCCCCCCCCCCCCCCCCCCCCCCCCCCCCCCCCCCCCCCCCCCCCCCCCCCCCCCCCCCCCCCCCCCCCCCCCCCCCCCCCCCCCCCCCCCCCCCCCCCCCCCCCCCCCCCCCCCCCCCCCCCCCCCCCCCCCCCCCCCCCCCCCCCCCCCCCCCCCCCCCCCCCCCCNTCGAGGCGATATCGCATGTGCAGCGCAGAATAGGCGTTGATGTCGGGCCAGATGTCGATGTCCGTCATGAAGAAGTGAGACGTCTTGACCGCCTTCACCGCCACGTTACGGAGTCGGTTGACCGGGTACCACACCGGGTCCAGTTCCTCCGGGCTCTGCGCTGCCGTCGCGCTGATCACCATGCGGTTGCACAGCTCTAGCGGTAACGCCTGAGACGTTTTTTTTTTTTTTGTGAAAGGGTGTTGAATGAGAAACGAGAGGGCTTTTTCTGCGGTTGCACAGCTCCAGGGATAGCGCCTGAGACGAGTTTTGGCTAGGGTGTTGCAAGAATAACAGGGGGCTTGTTCTGCGTTTGCACCGCTCTAGCTGGTAAAGCCTGAGACGAGTTTAGGTAAATGATGTCGTGTGAGGAACGGGAGGCGTTTTTCTACGGTTGCGTTGCTCAAGCGGCTACGCCTGAGACGAGGTTTCACCGAAAACTGCGCTAACAGACTGACCAATGAGAAGCCACCACCACTCCTACGTGGGTGTGTCTTCCACTAAATAAATAGCAGGACACCTGGGGGGGGGAACTTGTTCGGGTGTCGGTCTGCCTCTCTCGTCTTCCCTCACCTCCTCGTCTTCTTTCAAAATCGCGATAGATATCGGCCCTGGCCATCGCTTGCACAGGAACGGCAGCATCCAAAACCTATTTTGCGATGTCTGAGGGCGAGGGAAGGAAGGCGGCGTACCAACAAGAACCGGTTTCAGCCGTGGAAGACCAAGAGGATAGTAGGGTGAACGCGTGGACTGTCGTGCGTTGGTCGCACGGCTACACGGACGAGCGTGCGCCATCCGGTCTCTTCCCCGGCGTGAAAGCGAAACGCCGTTCGTTCGTGCGCTCGTAACAAGCAGCACCGGGGCGCCACGCGCGCAGCAGTTGGGAGATGCTTCGCGGGACCGCTTGGCTACGGACGTCGGGCATGACAAGGCACGTTCGTTACAATGCTAGCGGTTGCTATATCTACCCTTTTCCTAATTTTCGGTCAGATCCGCCACTGGCTGCCCCTCCTCCACCCCCTCCCTCCCGCCCGCACGACGAACTAAATATGTACATACCTACCGAAAACCATCATGCTCTTGGCTTCCACTGATACCTCCCCTACACGCAGCCCCCCCCCCCTGTCTCTTCTCCTCTCTTTCCCCCCTCCCCTCCCTTGCCTTTGCCTCACCTGAGACACAAGCGTGACGTCAAACGGTCCCTCCAGCGGCGGGGATGTCGCCTGAGCAGCTCCTGCCGCTCTTTGCACAGCGCCGGGCATTGCCCCCGTACTCTCCACGGCACCCTTTGGTTTCCGGTGTCGGCGCGGAGGAAGGAAGCATAATTAGACATCAGCGGGGGGGGATGGGGGGTCCGGGGGACCGGCAGATAGGAACACGACGAATATACGAGTGAGGTATGCATGTATTGGCCCGCCAACAATGACATGTCGTGCGTGCGGTCATGTTTAAGCCAGCAATGCTTGGCTTTGATACATGCGCCACGCGGATAGAGCTTGCTGCGCTTGTCGTCTTCTTTTGAACGAGAGCCTCCTACATTTGCAGTCTTCGACGAGGGCAACACCAACAATACTCTTTTCTGCTGCCGTGCGTGAACAATCGGCCAGCACAAGCAGCAGCGGCCAGCCGGTCTTCGCTTCGAAACGTGTACAGACGAAACGAGCCCGCCAGGCTTCCATCTGTTCCGTGGATCAATCCCCGACCGCCCCTCCCTATTTCGGCTTGTGGCCCCAAACCCCTGAGTTTTTGCTAGATCGAAGAACAAACGATCAAAACGCGCCGGTGTTGTCCTGAGGTGACTTTTCTCGAGGTGTTTTTTCCGCTGGCCTTCTTCTGTGCACAAGACCCCCTACTCTCCTTTTCTTTGGGCCTCACGGCCAGCGTTGGACTGCTGTCACAATATCTTGTCCTTTCGTGTTAATTAAGCACGCATGGTTCTTCTACATCCCACACTGAGAGGATCACCCATGAACCTCTCGACGATTGATCCCCGCAACCTCTGACGGTGGCTACACAAGGTGTGCTATGTGGCTTGCTCACAGTGGGTAGCATCGGCATATGCCGTTTCTTCCTTCGGCTGGGTCCGGTGGACACCAACAATCCCTTGTGTGCGGCAAGCAAGCCCAGAGAGGGCTGGACGCAGGTAGCCGCGGTGGGCGTTTTTTCGTCTGCTCTCAACTCTTGCGAGCTTGATTTCCGAGCGTCCTATACAGCCTTCCGGTCTCTTATCAACCACCAAAACACAAGAAGTATCACACACGCAGCTCGTGCGGCAAACACGTTTTGTCAGTCCTGATGCTTTATTGGGTGGGGAAGGATCAGTGGCAAAACAACCCGATCTAAAGACAGCAAATCGGTTTCTTGAGGCGGTCGGTCTTTTTGGTGCATGCTCTCGACTCTCACCCCCTCAGTGTCCGTGCCTCTTATCGCCCCGTGATCTCTATCAGCCGCCACACAAGACGCAGCACATACACACAGCTCGCGGGGGACGGCTCTACACCGGCTGCTGCTGCTGCTGCTTCACTTCGTCCAGAGAAATGACCGAAAAAACAAAACGGTGGGAAGGTACATGTATGACGCGTGGCGATCGATCCCAACGGCCCTTCCAAACTTTTTTTTTTGGCTTCATGACTCAGATGGATCTAAAAAAGATCGACTGCACCGCAAAACATGTGGGTCGTCCTTTTCACATGCCCTTCTTCGGGTCCGTCCCTTTTGCACAAAAAGGACAACTACAACGCACAATACTTTCCAAGAAGTGGCCTGAAAATTTCACGTTATGTTTTCTTGAGGGAACGAAACCACCGCGGAAGCTTAAGCTTGCGTCTCCCTCCCGGGAGCACAGCAGTCGTGCCCCCGGAAAGGACACAAAGAACTGCCGTCACTTCCTGCCTGAACGACACACAATGTTTCCCAGAAGTCCAGAACCATGGTGCCTCGCAGATTTGCAAAAAAGAAAAAGCAATTCTGGTAAAGGGCACAAGACGCTGCCGTCACTTCCTGCCTTAACGACACCATATTTCCCAGAACTCCAGAAGCGTGGTGCCTCGCAGATTGCAAAGAAAACAAAGAACTGGTACCAGTCATGGTTCATACTAGGGACACGTGCCCGGTTTGAGGACACTTTCCTCGAACCGAAAGACTGAGTGTCACTGAAGACGGGATGAATGCTACAATGTGAGATAGCACACACCAGGTGTACCGGCTACATCAACCCCGCCGCTCTAATCAACGCTCCAAAGGTGGTAGATTACATGGTATACGAAGTAGCTCGCTACCACCAGCGAGAGGCGGAGGGGCGCAGGATTCATGTACATATGAACATTGTTGCACGGTTTGGGTGATGCCAAGGCTGGCAGGCAAGGGAGAAGTGGGAGGGGGGGGGGGGGGGGGG